TATTCGGCCTCGTGCAAACCATCGCGTACATTAGACTACCTATGGCTGATGAATATGGCACTCTTCTCATGTGCTCCTTCTCTACATCTATCTTGGGTGATTGTTCCTCAGATAACCTGAGCCAACTTCCAAGGGGCGTGCTAACTCGCTTAGCATTCTCCATGTTGAATCTCTGAAGTATCTTCTCAATGTATTCAGCCTGACTCAACCTCAACATCCCTTCAGCCACATCCTAACTGATTCGCATCCTAAGAATCTGCTTCACTGCACCCAGATCATTCATAGCAAACTCCTTCGCCAATTGCTTCTTTAATTTCTTTATCTCCTGTAAACACAGTCCTACAACTAGTATGTCATCTACATACATTAATAACATGATATAGCTGGACTCAAACCTCTTGAAATAGCAGCAATTATCTGAGTTACACCTTCCATAGTCATTACTCTGCATGAAGTTATCGAACTTCTTATACCACTGTCTTGGAACCTGTTTCAAATCGTATAAGCTCTTGTTGAGTCTGCACACCATCTCTTCTTTAAATTCCTCAATGAAGCCAACAGGTTACTTCATGTATATTTTTTCATCCAAGTCACCATGAAGAAAGGCAATCTTTAGATCGAACTGCTCAAGGTAGAGATTTTTAGCAGCTACTAATCTCAACACCACCCTGATGGTTGTGAGCTTCACTACGAGGAAAAATATTTCTGTATAATCCATTCCTTCTCTCTGTTAGAATCCTTTGAAAACTAATCTGGCTTTGTATCTCTTGCTTTCATCACTCTCCTGCTTGACCCGATAAACCCACTTGTTATGTAAGACTTTCTTCTGTGTAGGTAGCTAGGCTAACTCCCATGTCTTATTCGAGTGGAGAAAATCTATCTCTTCTTACATCGTATGCTCCCACTACTAAGATTCATTCACTTGCATAGCTTCCTCATAGCACTCTGGTTCTTCGTTATCTGTCAAAATTAAATAATCTAGTGATGAGAGATATCTGGGATTCAGTTTGGGTACCCTGTATGACCTCCTAAGCTCCTTGCCTTGGGTAGTTGTCTCTGCACCTGGAGTCTCCTCTATTCTTTGGTCAGAACTGAAATTATCTCCCCTATCTAAAAGCTCCTCCAAATCCATGTATTTGGATGCACCTGTATCCTTAGTTCTACTTCTACTGCTTTGGTTATCCTTTGCATTGTCCCTATCCTTGTACATTACCTCTTCATTGAATGTGATGTCTCGGCTCCTGATGATTTTCCTATTCTTCTTATCCTAAAGATGATATCTAAACTCATCAATGCTATATCAAATGAATGTACACTTCTGTGACTTATCTTCTAGCTTGTCCCTGGCATGGTCACTGATATGAATATATGCCATACAATCAAAGACTCTCAAGTGTGAAAGATTAACCTTCTTGTCACTCTAAACCTCTTCTGAAATCCTAAAATCTAATGGAACTGAAGGCTCATGATTAATTAAGTACGTTGTTGTATGCACCGCGTCTGCCCAAAATGTTTTTGGTAGACCTACATAAAGACGCATGCTCCTCACACGCTCTACCAACGTTCTGTTCATTCTCTCTACAACGCCATTCTATTGTAGTGTTCCTGGAGTAGTCCTCTCTAAACAAATCTTATTCAAAGCACAGAACTTCTTAAACTCCTCTAGCTCGTATTCTCCACCATTGTCTGATCTCAGACACTTTACTTTCAAATCTGTCTCGTTCTTCACCATGACTTTCCACGTCTTGAAGATTCCAAACACCTCTGACTTGTGCTTCATGAAGTATACACACACCTTTCTCGAGTGATCGTCGATAAAGGTGATGTTGTACATCGAACCTCCAAGAGAAGACACGCTAGCTAGACCACATACATCTATATGAATAAGCTCTAGCTTGTGAGCTTTAAGTGGTCTTCCACTCTTCTGAGAGCTAACTGTTTTCTGCTTCCCGTAGATGCAGTCTTCACAAACACCAACTTCCACTAACTCGATGCCGGTTAGCTTTTCCTTGAGAGTGTAGGATCTTCATACCCTTCTTTCTCATATGTCCCAACCTATTGTGCTACAGATTTGCACTCTCTTTGCCCGCTACAGTTACGAGGGTGTCACTCGCAGGTAAATTCAGGTAGAGTGTTCCGGTCTTGTTGACACGGGCAACCACCATAGTACCATTAGAGATTTTTCACGAATCCCTGGTAAATATCGTAACATAGCCTTCTTCTCCAAGCTGGCTAACCGAAACAAGATTCCTCTTCAGCTTCAGTACATATCTAAAGTTCTTCAATTCCACTTAGTGTCCTTCATCTGTATTTGCACGTCACCTCTTCCCATAATGCTATAGGGCTCGTTATCCCCCAAGTATACTTTCTCGAAGTCCCCTGTTATATAGTAATGAAGAAGCTTCCTATTAGCAGTGGCGTGGAATGAGGCTCCCGAATCAATAACCCATGAATCAGAATCACTGTCCATAGCACGGATCAAGACATCTTGCACAAGATGAGCCTCCTGCTCACTTGCATCCTTCTTTTGTGCTTTACAGACTGAAATCATATAGCTCTCCTGACCGCGGTTCTAACATTTCCCTTTGATAGACCTCACATTTTAGTTTGACCTCTTCTTCTTCGACTTTGATCGATTCCTATTCTGGTTACTCTTATAACGGCTTCGGCCTTTTTGCTCGAGACTTAGAGCTGAACCTGAACCTTATGCTTTATACGATTTTCTTCTAACCTCTTCGGATAGAATCATGCTGATAACCTCGCTCAGCTTCAACTTCTCCTTCCCTGCCGAGTTGCTGATTGCGGTCACGCAACCTGCCCAACTATCTAGCAACTATGATAGTATCAGTAGGGCCTCCATTTCGTCATCAAAAGTGATATCGACGGAGATAAGTTGATCAACAATCGTATTGAATTCGCTGAGATGTATCATGAAGGAACATCCTTCTGCTATCTTGAGGTTGAAGAGTGTTTTGACGAGATTCACCTTGTTTGTAGCTGACGGTTGCTCGTACATCTTTGTTAGCGCTTTCATAAGCCCCACCGTCGTCTTCTCATTTAATATATTGTGTGTGACTGATTTCGCAAGCGACAATCTGATCTTCCCTAGAGCCTTTCGATCTAATATTTCCTAGTCCTCGTCGATCTCACCTTTCTTCTTTCCTTTCGCTTTACTCATTAATGGAAAGTAAAGATCCTTCTGGTACAGATAGTCCTCTATCTGTGACTTCCCATGCGTGAAGTGTGATCCGTTAAACTTCTCAATCTTTGATTTGCTTTCTTCTGTCATAGCTCTCACACAGATCTAATTCGAACGAAGTTCTAATACCGGTTGTTGGGGAGGATTCATCCTATCGACAACCTATCAAATGAACCCTCTCGCGAAACGTGCCCTCCGGATCTTGTATTGAAAGAAGGCAAGAAGAAATCACAGCAAATAAAAGGAAACTTTGCAAGAAAAAAATAAAAGTGAGAACACAAAAATTTTTACGAGGTTTGGCAACTTGCCTACCTCCTCGAGAGACACACAGTAAATTTCCTTTGAATATTAAAGAAGATTACAAAAGCTTGCAAAGAGATAATCTCAATCTCCCTGAGATCTCTCTATTCAAAATAGCGTTTTCTGAAAAATATCGCATGAAAAAACGGCGGCCAGGGTTCCCTATTTATAGGGAAACCCTAGGTCAAAACAGATTAGGAATCTGTTTTGACTGCGAATTTCACTTGTCTATGAAGCTCGCCTGTCTGCGAAGCTCACTTGTCTACAAAGTTAGCTTGACTGCAAAGTTCGCCTGTATACGAAGCTCGCCTGTATGCGAAGCTCGCCTGAACTTCTTCACCTGCACTTGGAGCTCGCCTGTAATTGGAGCTCACCTAATCTTCCAAGTTCACCTGAACTTCCAAAGCTCGTCTGAACTGCAGGTTCGCCTAAACTCAGCTTCGAACTTCGTCAGATCTTCTAAGTTCGCCTGAACTATCAAGTTCGCCTGAATTTCCAAGTTCACCTTATTTCTTAACTTAGAGAAATCTTTGTTTTGCATGCTTGTTCTAAGGTTTGGGTCTACACCCAAAACCAGCATATCCAAGAATCAAAATTATCGTAAGAATATGACTAATATTTATTCAGATATTTCGGATGTAGATACGGATATTTCATTACAAAACCATATCCATAACCATATCATATCGATTATAGATTTGAGTCACCATGTTCGTATCCTATGGATATATGGTTACGGATATTTTCTCGGGTACGGATACGGTTTAGCACCCCTACCCTCTAGTCTAAGTTGATACTTTTAGTGGTTAATAAAATTCTATGAAGGGGTGCTAGGGAAAAAGAGAGAGAGAGAGAGAGAGAGAGAGAGAGAGAGAGAGAGAGAGAGAGAGAGAGAGAGAGAGAGAGAGAAGGCAAAATAATGAGGACGGGCGGACATAATTTGTATGGTTGACTAATCCGTATGGTTGACTAATCTCTTTTTGTTAACCAAGTATAATAATTAATGCAGTGCTCATCAGTTTGTGCATTACTCACCAATTACTTCTGTCCGACCGTCTAGGATCAATGAAAGCGATTCGTTTCCAATTGGACGCGCCCATAAAAATGTCTTTCTCAAATCTCAAGGACTCTGTCTCCTCCAACGTGATTCCTTAATGACATCCTTAAATCTCGAGGATTCTGCTCCCTCCAAGCACGTGCCTAAAATTTTGACTAGGTCATGCCGTTTTATAAATAGAAGCATCACAGAGTCTCCTCTTACTTATTTTGGTTTTGTTTAATTTTGGAATCAAATGCCTGCTACACTCTTAATATAATCTACAGTAAATTAAATAGAAGCATCACACAGTCTCCTCTTAATTATTTTGGTTTTGTTTAATTTTGGAATCAAATGCCTGCTACACTCTTAATATAATCTACAGTAAATTATGCTTTAGGTTACATTGCTGGTCTGTATATATGAATACCAAAGCCAAATTGCATTTAGGGAAAAGAAAAGAAAGCTCATTGAAATCTTAATAGAAGAATAAGAGGGTAATTAGGATGGAGATGAGAATGCAAGAGGAGTTTCATGACATTGTGATCATTGGAGGAGGCATTTGTGGGCTTGCTACTGCCCTTGGCCTGCACAAGTGAACTTCTAATCTCTATAATCTATCTAATATTTATTTTTCAATTTCATTAACTTTATATCCATGGTTTAGGGTCTTGCTAAGAAATTGCACCATATTTATTTAAAACGAATCACATTTTCCTTTTGGTAATCGTCTATGAAAAAAGATACTAACATTCATATATTTGTCTTGTTAACATATTATGTTATGATTTGGTCTTTTTTAATCTTCGTGTAATTTTAACCACTGTTTTGAGATTTCTTGTTTGTAAAATCTCTCTATTCTCAAAATGATTTTTAATTAAAAATGGCCTTCTAAATCTCTTTCTTCAAATCAAAATTCCAACATAATGTCTTTTATCTGATCGAATACTCAGATTTTTTTTAAAAGATTTTATATGAATTCAAATATGAACATCTACAATAGGTTCTTTCCGGTCTTAATAATTAGTAGAGTTTTATAGATATTCCATTTTAATTTGACATATTTGCAAAACTATCCTCCAGATCTTAGTATTTGTAAAATTAGCCTCTATTCTTCAACTTAAAAAAAAAAAAAATCCCCAAATCAACAAAGTATCAACTTTGTTTGATATGGTGAGTGAAAATTTGACTATTTTATTGATATTACTATCAGCCTATCAAAATTGGTGATTTATTATCTTTTTGTGGTGAAGTTGATCTATTGGTTAAGTGTTTGTTCTAAAGTTGCAATGTAATTACATTGCAGTTAAAATCAACCTATCAAAATTGGTAGTGATTTATCGCTTAAAGGGGGAAAGTTGATTTACTGATGGGGGGAAAGTTTGATTTGTTCATTAAGTATTTGTTCTAAAGTTGATGATCCAGATGTAGTTATCCAAATATGAGATTTGGAGGGTAGTTCTCCACACGCTAAGAGTTCTGTAAGTATGCATGATTTAAGGGGTGTATATACAAAACCTAAATTCAAGTTTTTAAGGTAAAACAATGCGAAATGCTTTTTCTTGTATCTGTGAAGGAGAGAAAAGTGTGGTAGAGATTTGTTTGGCATAATTTTCGGACCCAAAACTTTGAGCTAGCTAGTTCAGGACTTTGGTCACAGGGTTAAACGCTGGTAGAAGACAAAGTCACTGGGTTAACAAACACTGGATCATGCGAGATGTGTATTGTTGACCTGATTTGGATTGTGATTAAGGAAAGGCATAAATAGTACAGGTAGTTATGATAAGAGCACAAAGTTAATAAAGAACTTAAATTTTTTTTGTTATGAATATGTACAGGAAAGGCATAAAGAGTATAGTTTTGGAGAGATCTGAAACCCTAAGAAATACAGGGGCTGGCATTGCCATCTTCCTTAACGGTTGGCATGCCCTTGACCATCTTGGAGTGGCAGATCAACTGCGTGCAAATTCTCTGCATATCATAGAGTATGAGTTTAAACTTTTTGACGAAGATATTCGATCATTTTTTTCAGTAATTCTAAAGTTTCATTATTCATAAAATTTTGATCTTATTTGGTTCAGGAAACATAACAAACGGATAAACAAGGATGGGACAGAAGTAATACCAATCAGGTTGAATCAATATTATTTATTTGGTGTTATTATTTGATATTATGACGACATTACAATAAAAGTAGAGACTTATTCTGCTCCATCCTAATCCCAACTATCATTTTCACTATTATCTTAGTTGCATCCATAATTACATTTTAGTAAATATTTCCACCTATTTTAATGTTTTAGCAAAGAAGGGCTCCGTTGCGTCAGAAGAAGCGATCTAATCGAGGCCTTGGCTAACAGTCTACCTGTTGAATTCGTCCGTTTTGGGTGTCAAATTGTCGCAATTCAGAATGATCCAGTTACCTCCTTTCCCATTGTCCATATTGCAGATGGTAGCATCATAAGAGCTAAGGTAAAATGCTCGAAATTGTATATGTGCTTGTGTGTATGAAATAATGTTACAGCTTATTTTCTTTTTAACTAAACCGTTAAGAGATAGATGTGTGGTGAAGTCTCTGGCTACTCTCATTAGATGGGTAGGTCTCACCCCTCTCTATGTCTTGCTAGCTCATTTAATAAAATAAACCATTAGCTTATAGCTATCATAACTTTATGAACATACATACAAGCATATATACATATATGTTATGACGTGTGT